CATTTAAAAATAGAAATATAATTCATTTAAAAGTAATGTTTAAAATATGTATATTTAGTCAACGGTTTGAATTTTCTTTGACAGGATTAATTTTATAAGAATTATATTTGAATTAAGTACAAAATAATCAGAATAGTTAAGTTTTTCATTCAAAGGGTGTGATTAAGAATTGAACTCGACAAAATTTTATAAAAATTTTAATTTAATACAAAATAGATAATTTTTTTCATACAAAGGCTTTGCTTAGGCGAAGCACTTGAGAGAATTTTATAAATCTTATAAAGCTAAACTTTCTTTTGGTTTTGATTGAATTTCTCGGTGAAAAGAATTCAAATTTTGATTTGATTTTTGAGATGACGAATTACCAATATACGTTGAATTATTCGGACTCCTTTTCTCATTTTTTATTGTTATAAACACAGCATTTCAGCCAAGTAGCCTCTGGCTATCTTCAGTTGCTTATCATCTTTGGCTATGGTATATCTTATGTGTTGATTATTGTGTTATTTTTGTCCCCGACATGCCAGTTTTTGTTAGTTTCTGCTTAGCCAGAGTCCATTGTTTCACTAACTGTATTGCCGGGAGTGAACTTATATCCAGTAGATTGTAGCGACACTTTACTAACACTTATATCCACTACACCACCGCCTCAAAGGACACCAGCAGTATATATTATAACATTTAAATTCAATGTTTGTGTCGGCATCTGGTTATCAGCTGTTTTATTTAATCATTTCCTTTCAACCAAACCGATAAGCCACTAAGTCGAAAGGGGCCACTGGGAGTAAAAGAGAGTAAGACTTTAGTGACAAAGGACAATAAAAAAACAGGTTTCAGGAAGACAGAAGATTGCGATTGTCGTTGCATTTAAATTTTGAAGAGGTTCCATGGGCGCGAAGTAAGATAAAATAAATTTTTAGAATAAAACGTTTGGTTATATCTAACTAATTCAACATAAAACGATGGGGGCAAGTTGCTAAAGTAATAGTACTCTTAAATTCATACGGGCACCAAGAAGGAAAAGTCATCAGAACAATTGCCATGAAAATATTCATAGAAAAGACATAGGGAAGACACGTCACGGCGATGGGAATGTGACTGAATTTGAGATACCAGAGCAAAACCGATAACATTACATGCCCTTCTTTGTATTTTGCCAAAAATCTCAAGATAATTAGCAGAAACACCAGACCAGACATAGCAGCAATATTCAATGAACGGACAAATGGTAGATTTATAAATGCATAAGATAGATCCCGACGAGAAAAATTGTCCGGTACGACACAGTAAACCAAATTTCCTAGCAGCAGACATACCGATTGACTCACTATAATCACTCCACTTCGTGTCAGTGGAAAACGTGAGACCAGTAAGACATACTGAGTTGCTCTCCTAGAGGTTAGAATCAGCCATGATGATGAAGGATAAAAAAGGTTCTCAAGTGTGATTAAAAAATAGCAGTTTCGTTTTGAAGACGTTAAAATTTACAAACCATTCTTTGTCCCATTTAACAATTTATTGGATATTATTTTCGAGAGCAGAAGCGAGTTTTACTTTGTCGGACCTATCTGAGACGAGTAAATAATTGTGCCTTCAGCATAAATAGTTTCTATTTGGGAATTTATGACATCAAGAAGGGTGAAGATAAGAAACAACGTAGGTCCACGGATAAAGTCCTGGGGAACTCCCATATCAATGTGATATTAAGTGTGTCAATTCAACACAATCTTCATTGCACGATTTGTTAAGAACGATTGGATTAAGCCAAATATTCGTCCAGAGACACCTTAGCTCTTGAGCCTGTGGGGAACGCCAGCATGCCACAACCTGTCGAACGCCACAACCCGAGCCTTGGCGTTCTTATCTAAAGCTTGATAGACCAATTCAGTAATAACAATTAACACATCGGTGGTAGACATAGAGAAATAAAAGACATATTGTTTATCCAAAAGAAGGCCGCGTGAAATGAGATGCTTAACCAAGTTGATTAGATCTTCTAGAACTTTTCCACAAAGGAGTAAAATACTAATAGGATGACAATTCGAGGGATCAGGAACTACAGAAGAGCATTTCCAACAAACTAGAAAGCAAAAGGAAGAAGCAAAACATTTGTTGTTGATTTTGGAGAGAACAGAAGCTAGTTCAGGAGCAGATTTTCTTGGGACAATTGGAGGGATACCACAAGCCTTGTGGAATCTAGTTTGGAGATGATACCATGGTCGAAATTATGCACATCTCACACAGTAGAGATTTTTTTAGGGGAAAAATCAAGCAAAGATACTTATAAAGAGTTGAGAGTGGAGTTGAAACAGCAAAGCCTTCTGCTTTATCAGCAGTAGATGAGAATACTTCAAACTGATTGATGCCAGTAATAGCTACAACCAAAATTGTGAAAGGCTATACGAATAGCCCCCTAATTTAAGCGCAGTACTAGATTAGCGCCAAGGTCTTATCAGTTTACAGTTGAAATGTCTAGGCGTAACCGTAAGTCCTATGATATCAGTTTCTTTTATTACACTTCTCGTTTATGGAACTCTTTTATCTTCTTGCTTCCCAGTTAATTTTGGTCTTCAAAGATTTAAATGCAATGCCAATCATTATCTTCTATTTTCTTAATTCTTATTCTTTTATTGGCCTCTCTCCTTATTAGTTTTTCTCATATTTTCTAATATTCAGTAACTTCTTAGTTTAATTGGCTTTAATGCCTCGCTTGGGGTGAAATGGCCCTCCCACACACAGCAAAAAAACTAAGAATATCTGCGTAGGCATTCAATTGTGTTTGCAGAAAGGCACGGTGGAGTAATGGATAGCTGCTCGGATTGAGGAGTCGGAGAGCCGAGTTTGAATTCCAGTCGAATCCATTGCATTCACTTACGTGTTAATACCTTTAGAAAGGTATGAATCCTCTTCTTTTCCCTCCAGCTATGGATAAATAGCAGGACAGACCAGGTTCTATAGCCTTGAATGGCAACCTACTGCGGCAAAAAGTCTGCCTCGTCAGTCATGTATCGAAAGATACATGATCGCCTAAGCGTGTATCACATATAACTGACTGATTGTGCTTGCTGCCAATTTTGAAGATTTCGATTATTTTTAATATTAATTAATTCGTCAGCAAACTTCAGTTAGTTTGCCTTTCTGAATGGTATTCCTAATTTCATGAGGAGAGTAGTGTTTCGAATTCGAATTTTGTTTGATTTCGTTCTCACTCATTCACTCACACTCTCTACATAAACACACAAATAAAGAATGATGAATACAATTTTATTGACTTCTGTAACCTTTCGTTGAAGGTAACGTTTTCAGAATTTTAAATCAATTTTCACTAAGTAAAATCGTATGTAAACATCTTTTGCTTATTTTTTCTCTGGAAAAGAAATATATTGTATTGTCAAATGAATAAATTATAAACAAATCATACGCAACAGTGTGTGCTAATCACACTATAATATTAGATAAAGACTTCCAATTTTAATTATAGAAAAATATTTCCTCAAAAGGAAAAAAAATCAAAGTCACCGATTTTGAGCTGCCTTAATTTGTTAGATATTGAAATGAATATCAAACGTACTTTTATCAGTTTTTGTAATCAGTGCGTAAACCACTGAATAAAGTATATAAAATATTTTAATTCTGTATTAAATTTGCTTTTTATATTTTGGCTGGTAATTTTCGAGTTATCTAATAATCACTCCTCTCTTTTGTAGGTATTCTTTTATCGCCAAGTGGTTTTTGCGCAAGTAAACAAGAACACTCTTTTTGGAAAACTATCGTTAGAAGAAGTATGTAAAATCAACCATCAGAAAGAAAACTTCTCTAGGAAAGATGGTAATCATTAGATCTGGAAGTATTAAATCCGGCCGAAGCTTGTAAAGAACACTCAATCAAACATCTAATTTCTGTTAAAAAAAAAACAAAGAACTTCAGAAACACCATTATTTTGTACAGATTTCATAGACTATTAAAATTCTGTTCTTAAAAAGAAACAACTAGAGAGAGAGAGAGAGAGAGAGAAAGAGAGAGAGAGAGAGAGAGAAAGTGAGATTTGCATAATATCACTTTCACATGAACTTAACTGGTTCGTTTTGAAAATTAATTCATATATTTATATGTTTCAATATAACCCTAAAAATCTAAGCAAAACAGGTTTGATGTAACTTTATAAACAAATAATTACAAATTTAAAGTTAATCAACTTTATCAACAAATGTAAAATCCATTTTTTGGCTCATTCATATCCTTAGGATAAAGAGTAGAAACACAGTGAGCTAAATTATACTATGAAAATAATGAAGCTGTTCGATTATTTTGAACTGGAATCTACTAAATTGATTTGTAATTTGAAAAATAAAACGTATATTTTTATTTAAAGATAACTGAGCTTATTTTCATTGAACAAGCTCTATGTTATATTACTTTTTATATTAAATTTATATCAAATTTATATCTATAACATTCTACTGAATTTTGTAATATTGACTTCCCAAGATTCTTTAATTTTCGATCAATTGTCATTAAGCAAACATTTAATCGGTAATATGACTAATAAAAATAAAGTTTTAAATGCACATGTACTCGCCGCTTTAGCCCCAGGAGCGAAAGTTGATTACAAAACATTGGAAATTGCGGTCAATTCTGATCCTGATGCCACTACTCTTGTATTGAACGTGGGTGGTGAACTTTTCGAAACTTACAAATCGACGCTCAAAAAACATGGTGGCACAAACTTGTCAGATGAACTCTTCCTGCGGAAGTTTTACCGAGAAAGTCGTAAAGATTATTTCTTCGATCGTGATCCGGTATGTTTTCGATCGGTTCTGGAATATGTGCGCACTGGTCAACTTCACTTACCATCCAACGTTTGCGGCCCAGCCTTGAAGCGTGAGTTAGATTTTTGGGGTGTTAATGAAAGCCTAATCCAGAGCTGCTGTTGGAATATCTACGACTCCTGGAATAGCACGTATGAATCACTTCTGCAGTTGGACCAAGATCGAAAAGCAATGTTCTGCATGGACTTTGAAGACAAAGAAGATATGAATTGTTCGACTCGTCTTCGCTGTAAACTCTGGAACATACTTAGTAATCACGATTATTCCAAGCTGGCAAAGGTAAGTGCTCTTACTAATACTAATACCAGGGCCATTTATCAATAGATTTATTTTTTTAATTTTATCTGCAATATATGTTTTTAAAGGTATGTGTGTGAGTTAGTATGTTTGTATGCGTGTGTGTGTGTGTGTGTGTGTGTGTGTGTGTGTGTGTGTGTGTGAGAGAGAGAGAGAGAGAGAGAGAGAGAGAGAGAGAGAGAAATTTGACTCAGGTTTTCATTCTGTGAATTTGATTTGTAGGCTTTGAATAACAGTTATCTGATAGTAATTTAAAAACAACCAACAGTAATTTCTAATGAATGTATTCTTCAGTTAACGCCGAAAAATCTCATCTACAAAAAATAACATAACTACTCAAAAAAGAAGGAAATCAATTATTCAAATCAAATATTCTTCAGGGATCTTCCCCCAACCAGTACCTTTCCCTGAAGCATAACCAAAAGGGGAAGTGTCGAGGGGGACTAGACAATTTTTCCATAGTATTGCTTTCAAACTAACTCCAAACCCCGACCTTGTGTCACATTCAGTAGCAACGTGGACGCACTGAAAAATACTCTTTCCGGATTTTTACTGGAATCGTTCATATTCTTCTAATATATTATGACCAAGACCCGGGGTGGGGGGCTCCCTCTCAAGCAGTACCTCTTCGTTCGGTAGCTACGTGAACGCTCTGTATATATGGGATTCCGGCCTTTGCCTGGAATCTTTCATATTCCTTTAATATTAAGACCAAGCCTCAGTGGGAATTCCACCAAAGCAGTACCTCTCCTTCGGGAGAAGATTATTACCCGGCACCTGAGGCATCTTCAAAAGGGAAAGTGCCGAGGGGACATTGGCATTTTTCCACGGTATTGCTGTTAAACCCAATCTAAAGCTCGACCTTGTAATGTAATATTCGATAGCTTCGGGGGCGCTCTGAAAAATACCTGTCTATGGGATTTTGGTATTTAAGGAGCTTGATGTGTATTTATTGTAGATGCTTTTCTTGCTTCTGAATACGCTTTATCATTCCCTGTGCTACCAAAATGGCTTGGTATTTTAGAGGCAGGTGTTTTTTTCAGGACATTTTTCATATGGATACCATATGGTTTGATGGCTTCTTTTCTGTTAAAGAGATTAGTATGGATGAAATGTGCATTTATATGTAGGATTTGATGGGCAGGTCGAGAGTTTAATATTGAAGAATCAGTTTTTCCGCCCTATTGCTAATGGAGGTTAATGTGCTTCTGTGTATAGAAGCTCTGGTGAAAATTCCTACGGCTATTCATAATCCTTGATTATGTATTCTGTTGAGTTCTTTTGTGTACCTTTTTCTTGCTCTACCATATATAAAGCAATCATAATAAAGCTTCGATCTAATTAATGAGCGGTATATCTTGAGTAATGATTCTTTGTTTACACTCTAGTCTCGGTGAGCATTAACTCTAAGTAGCTACAGAGTTTTCTGGAATTTGGACCGTAAGTATTTTATATGGTGTATAAATGTTCGTTTTTTATCGAATATGAATAACTAGTTACTTGCATTGTTCTACTACTGGGATTATGTTATTGTTTAGTTTTAATTTTGGGTCGTTATGCATTTTTCAAAGCTGGCGGAAGTGCATACATTTAGTTTTTTCTTTTGAAAATGTAATCCTCTTCTCCGTAGCCCATTTTTTAATTTTATTTAGACATGGCTGCAGCATATATTTTAACTTATAGTAGATTAAAAAGTCATCTACATATAGGGCACAATCTGTTCCTGTAATTATGTTTTTTACAATATTATTGATTTTAATACTGAACAGGGAAAGACAGAATGCTCCTCTATGAGACACCTTCTTCTTCATCTTTTTCAGTTGTCACGGTGTCATATAAACGCACTTTAATATGCTTGTCTTCCAAAAAGCTGCAGATAAAGGATAGCATTCTGTCGTTGCTTGTAAGTCGCTTTTTATGCTGTACTTTTAGGTTGTATCATAAGCTTTGTCCAAAGAACACTGCTGCTAAGTGTCATTTTTTATGAAGGCTTTTCGTATGGTTGTTTCCAGGCTAATTAGATGACCAACAGAGTTTTTGTTTCAGGAGCCTGTCTAATATTTTGTTATTAGTTTATTAGTTTCCAGATACCATATTAATCTGCTATTAATAATTTTTTCAATATGCAGCTGGTGAATGCTATTGGTCGGTAATTTTTGGGGTTTGTATTGTCTTTCCCAGGTTTGGGAATTAGTAGAATTGTGGCTTGTTTCTAAGATTTGGGAATATTGTTTCCGATTCATATATGATTGAGAGTTTGGAAGAGGTAAGTTTAATGATACTTCAGGTAATTGTTTCAGGAATTGATAATGTATTTCATCTGGACCGATGGCGGTATCATTATTGTTTAGGGATTCTTGTAGTTCTAGTTTTGGTCGATAGTAATTTTCATTGACTTTTTTTTTTAATTAAAGTTGATTTTTTTTCTTTTTCTTCGCTCTGTTTTCTGATTTGGAATGCTTTGCAGTGGTTTTATGATTAATAGTTTTCTGAAAATGTTTCAGCTAGAGGGTCTATGTCTTTTTTGTTGGTAATCTTTGGAAGAAAGGCGCTTGATAGCGTTTCGGACAGATTTTCCTGCTATTTTTCATATAATTTGCTATAATTTTAGGGTTCGGTGTTTGGATTTATTTTAGATAAAAAATCTCTCCAGAATTTCCGTTTGGATTCTTGAAGAGTTTTACAGGGTGTGGATCTACATGTTTTTATATTCATCTAGGTTTTCCTTGGTTGTTTGTTTTGTCGTAAATTGACTCGGCATGTACGAATTGCTTTCTTACAATCATTATTGAATCATGGCTTACTAGGTTCTGAGGTGCAAGAGCTTTTTGTTATGCTTTAATTGGCTATTGTAAGTAGGGTATCAGTAAAATGTGTTATTAGTTCTTCCTTATCTATGTTTGTTTCTGGTATCAGCTTGAGTTTGAAGGCATTTGGGAATTCTGTCCAGTTTCGAAAATTCCAGCGAGGTATTTTATCATTTACGATTAGTATAACTGGGAAGTGATCACTTCCACATGTATCATTATGAGTTGACCAGGCATAATCCATGCCTAGCTTCACAGATTGTAAGATCAATGGCAGAGTATTGCAATGTTTCTGTTGATGGATGTACGTACGTACTTATTATTTACGACGAATAGATGATTTTTGATTAGATAATGTTTCTATGATTTTCTCTTTCTTGTAGTTCCTTTACTCTCCCATATTATTTTATGGCTGTTAAAGTCACCCATTAATATAAAGTGTTTTTGTAGTTACTGTATTAATTTATGTAATTCAGTTTCATTAGAGATTTCATCGGGATGTATGTATATAGAGCATTATTATTGTTTTACGTGAAGTGTCAGTTTTTTTTTTAGGTTATGCCTTTATTTTTTAGTTGTGAAATGACGTCATTTTCAGTAGTATCTCCTCTTGTCTTTCCTTATCTATCTCAATAAAAATTGTTACATGGTTTTTAGATTTTTCACATTTCGGGGCTTTAGCTTAGAGGATATGATTTTTTCACAAAGGAAAGGGAGATAATTTCGTGAGTGGGTTTCATCTAGTGATTCCAAGATGATAAAACTTGGAAAGGATCCCCTCTTTTCGTTTTCAGAATCCGTATGTGAGCTCTCTTCGTGGGTTTCTTTTCATCCATCAAAAAATTATTTCACCGCCCCTGCTCCCCACCCGCCACGGAGTCCAATTTAATGGGAAATACCAAGGGGGAAAACCATTCGCCTTCATAAGACAGAGCTACAGCAACGGTCATGAGTCCCTGGTTTCCTTTTGATTTCGCTACTCAAGAACAAGTGAAACGTCTGGATTATCTAAGATGTATCGTAGTTCTTTCCTTCCAAACTGATTGACTCTACAGCCGTAGCCTTCTAATTCAAATATTTTATATATCTACTTTTGAGGTATTTTTGAAAGATGACCTCAGACGTTACGAGTCGCCACCCACAGAAAACAGGTGGCCTCAGGGGGGTGGGTTGGGGTTATACCTCTACAGAGGCGTAGTCGGCATATTCTGAAGCCCCAACCGACAGGTCGTCAGATCCGAAGGATGCAGGGATTAGTTCATTCCTAGAACATTCTTGCAAAACGACAAAAATTAGCATTCAAAGATACCTAGAAATTATAAAAGATGATAGTCTGTGTCAAAGAACATGGAAGAAACAAGAAACTTTATTTCGTGGTAGCAAATTTAAAAATGAGTTTCAAGGGGATGAAGAAGAGCAAGTAAACTCCAACCCACCGACTGTAGCAGGAAAGAACCTAAAAAAAAGACAAATCAAATGAAATAGACCAAATTCAGAAACTATCACAAGATAAATGTCTTCACGGCCAATACTCTTCCCCTAGCCAAATAAGCTGATGTAGACAACCTCTATACCCGGCAACGGTTGCGTAGTGAATAAAAGTTGAAACTGAATGTTTATTCTTTCTACAAGACTTGCTGACTAAAATTATCAAACATACCTAAAAATTGTGTTGACCCAAAATGCAGATTCAGTGGTAAATATCCAGAAACAATTAACCATCTAGCATTAGGCTGAAGGGCATTAGCCTTCACCGAATATAAAACACGTCATAACAGGGTAGGCCAATATTTGCACTGAAAATTTTTTAACTTTTATTAGAAGGAAAATGCAAGAAATTGGTAAGGACACTACCCAGGCACGGTTACATGATTCGACTTGTAATAATTTTATGGGACTTTACAACACACGTATCGCACCTCCACACAGAACAATCAAAGCTAATCCGTCAGATACGAAAGACCATAAAAAAGAATGCGTTTTATTATTGATATGACAGTTCCGGTAAACTGTATTTTATCTTTAAAGAACTTCAATAAATTATCAAAATATAAGGATCTTGAAGTGGAAACTTCAATGGAATATGAACATATCAATAATTCCAGTTGTGGTTGGGGCCCTGAGTTTGATTGGAAAAGGTTTTATTGACGGGATCTCAGGAATCCCATGCATTAA